AATCCCCCGAGTTTGTTTTACTAGCACTACCACAGGATTGGGGGCGGTTTACTTGGGTGGCCCTGGCCCAGTCGGAAGATGTGGGCCAGAGTGTAATTTGGGTGCGCTTAAATTTAATTCTTAAAGCTGGGAATCCAAACAACTAGCGTCGATGTAAACCAACGGTATTGTTGCCTTGTGTTGGTTTACATTTGGTTTCATCTGGACAAAGCAGCAACCTCTCCGTCTCCCTTGTCAAGCCAACACAGAAGTAACTAAAACTGCAATTCATCGACTCGCCTTTGGGGGCTGCCTCCAGGAACTCCACATGTTCACTGACTGCAATGCTGAATTGGCTAATTTTACAGCTGATAAAAACATGTTTACAGCCTAGTACAAAAGATGGTTTTGGTCTATATAGCTAATATTACCCTTCTTGACAACAGTTAGGGGGTGATTTTTTTAATGACTCATCCGTTTAGTTTTTATTAAGCTATATTAAGTCTGCATAATTAAGGGCGTGGCCACTTGAGTAAAAGATAGGTCTCGCTGGTCGCCGTCATGTCATTCTGGCTGATTAGCCACTGAACTCGGCATATACATCATATTTTTGTTTTGTTTTATGTGGCTTTACGCAGTCAATTTCCCTATTGGAATTATTTCCTACAATTATCATTTGATATGGAATGCTGTGTGCACTTAATTGTGCTCACAAACCATTCAAGCTGCCTCCATTTCCTAGGTGAGTGAAATTATATACTTGTATACCATCTCTATAAATGTTTTTGTTTTATTTATGATAAAATATCTTTTAGATTTTTCTTTGGGCCTGTAATGCACTTTAAAATCTGACATATTTGTTAGCTGTAGGTCATCTGAAACGTTGTCATACAGTGTTATGCCTGAATTTCATAAATAGCCTTGCATTTGCTAACACACTATATTTGAAGTATTTGGAAGCAATACACGTCATAAGAACAATGCTTAGTTGCTCAATGTATTACAACAGTGTTTTTAAAAGCTTTAAGTTTTTAAAAACACTTTATTGATATACTATACAACCAAGCACATGTGGTCAAAACACAAATGAGTCGCAGGTAATGAAGTATTAAGCGTTTCTCCCAAAGAAAAGCCTGTCTAAGCAAAACGCTAGCAGGCATCTGTAGCTCCGCTCACGCTCTGCCTCTTTGCTCTTCTTTGGTATCCCCCACTCAGTGCGATGACGCGCGAACTGATTCTACAAGCTGAATTGGGCCAACGAGCTCTGACATTGACCCAACAAGGAATTTATAAGGAATTCGCTCATGAAAATATGTCTGATAATCCATATCATTGGCAAAATATTTAAGAAAATGTGGTGAAATTACAGCCAGCCTCTTCATGTTCCTTCTTGACCTTAATTGTTTACTTGCTACTTCACTTCTTTCAGCACTCTTCAGCTGATTCTACATGCTAATTCGGGCCTAGGAGCTCTTACGTAACCCAACGAATGGCAATGTGTGAAACACACTAAAATAACTACCAGATTGATGGCCCAACGAAGCCCATTGACAGACCGTCAACTTGCCGTGTCCCGATCTTTACTTTTCAAAGAATGGAAAATAGTTCATCAAAGATGCAAACCCCTCATTCCACTTCAGCTGCCACCTTCAGCAAAACTCCCAATACATGGAGCACAGTGACTTAAAAGCGTCTGCTAAATGACTAAATGTAATGTAAGATGACTTTTATGAAAATTTATGATCGTCAAAAGCTCGTTTGATCTACCAAAATATTCAGCCGTGTGTCACAGAGTCCCAAAACAATGCACAACAATATTCGAAAACTCCATTGTACTGATAAGTCAGCGCATCTCTTCCTGTTTTCTTATAGCTAATTTGCATACTACCAGCCATTAGTCTTCACTGCATGTTTAAGTAAAATCTATTTTCACCATCAAACACTGTGGTTTTAGTTGAGGCCTGAAAGAGATGTTTTGTCGACGTATTGAGATGACACTTTTTTTTTTTGCACGGTGAAACTACTGTCAAATTTATATGGTAAAACTGATACTCTGTTACCCTTCTTTTTAATCTATAGGAAGGTTAAGGAGCTGAATTTCAGATGTAGTAATGGACATTCGGTTTTTTGATACATGCTGTAAGGAGAGTGGACCAGTCACAACAGACCGCAGCCAACTGACCAATCGGAGCAGAGCAGGTTCTCTAAATGGCAGACACATTTAGGACAGTCTCCTTTTGCCAAATAGGACATGTTCCTGGATGAACATCTATGTTGATCCTGGAATAACATTCTAATCAGCCAATAGGCGTTGGGAATAGGTGCGGATTACATTTTTTACCAAAAATGATGATCCAGGATCAACACAGATGTTAATCCAGGATCGCATCGTAAAATCATGACGTGTATTATAAAAGAGGTGATGCCGAGTATATTATAAGAAAATGAGTGTGTTATTTACATCCTGAGTGTCAGAAACATATTGTAGGAACATTTAAGAATAGAATAAAGGGACATTTTATCTTTAAAAGGGAAAAAAGATCTCTCATCACTAAATATAGCACAGTGTAAGATCTGAGATCATAAGAGGGATGTTGTCTAGTTGTCTATTGCAGAAGTGTGTCAAATCAAGGACTAATTCTGAAGAACAAATGCGTTAACCCTAAATAATGTAATATTTGAATAAGGGGGATTTCCAGTGATGCACAAAAACTGGCAGCAGAGGTCATAAGTGGCTGTTTGAGCTGCTTGTCTAAATAGACGGGTGGAAAAAATTCAGGGCGAGATGGTCAGAGGTTGGAGGGAGAGACCGACAGACAGAGGGAGGGGGAGAGAGAGAGAGTTAACGGCTCACTGCAGGCACTGCAGAGAGACACTAGATAGACCCTTATAGACTAGCAATCTGTTACACATGAAATCATATAAAATAGTCTAATATTTAAAAAAAGTCCTTGAATTCTTACATGCTGACAGCTTTGTTGCTTAATTTCTTTGTTAAAGTGTGGTCATTTATGTGCTATTTAATGTATTCATCTTATTTAAATGTCACTATAAATGTTATTCATGTATTGGGATAAACTTGTTAACATGATAAAAACTACACAAATATTCATTTTTAGTAATTTTATTTAATCTTTTCTTGTTATACTTTATGTACAAGATATAATATTAAAATTGATTAATTGTCTGGCATGAAAATGTTCATCAAATTCAATTCGTTTGTATGCCAAATTTATTTTAAATAATATATCAAAATGTTTTATATATATATATATATATATATATATATATATATATATATATATATATATATATATATATATATATATATATATATATATACATACATACATACATACATACATACATACATACATACATACATACATACATACATATATATATATATATATATATATATATATATACACACACACACATACATATATACATATATAAATATATACAAAATATATTTGGGGAAAGTTACTTTGGAAAATAATGCAATACAATATTGATTTATTCTCCAAAAACTTAGCTAGTTGTGTTACTTTGTTACTTTTTATAGAAAGTAATGCAATACGTTACTTTTGAGTTACTTTTTCTCACCTGCCTGAGGCTTGATATCTTTCAGAATTTAATTTAATAGAAGAGCTCTGCATTTAATGGTACACTGCATTACTTTTATTTACCATTAAAAAAACAATAAAGCTAATAAAGCTATAATAAAGCTACCCGATGCTATACATGCTGTATATAAAGATTAATAAAAATTAAAAGCAATGTGTTTGCTACTTTTGTATTTTTGTTTTATTAGTTTAGTAAAATTAGTCTATTGAGACTACAATCTTCTTTTTTTCCTATGCGTTCAGAACAATGAGAACACTTCCATCACAGAAATGTAAGGCTCTGCCATCTTGGCTTCTGTCTGTTTTCCTGCAGAGAGCTCATTGTCTCACTGAGTGTGATTCAACGTGATTAAAAAAAAATGAATTAAAATTAGTCTAAAGTGAATTAATTAATTTAAAAATGTAACGAGAGTTAAATATTTTTTAAAAAATTACTCAAATATTATAAAAAAAAATTTAAGTTATCCATTACTTTACTCTGTAATAAAAAAGCAATATTATTACGCAACTTACATTACCTTTAATGCGTAACCCCCAACACTGCTGAGAGGCAACTTGTGTGTCAGATTAGAATAAACTGTCAGTATAAAAGTACATTCGTCATGAAAACAAAGACACTCTAAACTAGTTTAATGAATAATCACCACATTTTTTCATAATAAATGACCTTGACAGCTTAGACAGCACAGTTTCTATATATATAAAAAACATTGCTGCTAGTCCTTGAGAAAAACAACCACTTTTAAGGACACATAGCTCTTCTTTACCACCAAGGAAATTGCCTATAAAAACCCAGTGCGTTGTCAGTAAAATTAAATAGGCCACTTACAATTCTCCCTTTATGGACTGAACTGCATAACAGCCTAAACTATCCTGTCCCAGTTCTACAGAAGGTCAACCTTCCCATTGTAACCGATTCACTTAATTAAGCTTCGGCAAACGTTGTATAAATATCAGAAAAAATAAATTTTAATCAGCAAATCAAAGCAAACAAGACATTTTGTGCCTTATATTTCTCAGCCCTTTAACACAACGGCTGCATCACACTACCAAAGATAAACTGATCTTCTGCTCTCAGAATAGCACAGGCCCTTGAGAAAAGGGAAGTGAGATTTGAGCATTTAAACATTTGCTCTCGTTCCCTCTCTCAGCCTTTTATGCCCGGCTGAATGAAGCCAACCACCTGTGACAGATCGAGAGTTAATGCTACTGTGCCTTCCAGTTCATAGCAGTAAACAAGCTGATAGCGAGGCAATCTCCAGAGAGAGATAAAAGAAAATCACACCCCAGAAAAAAAAAAACAAATGGTGACATGCCAACTAAAAACAGACGTTGTGTGGGTGAAGTTGGCTAAAGGAAGACTGTTTCTTGTTTAGATTTTCTTGGCCTCACCTGTCGTGCCACACGCCGGGCCTCCCAGTATGGTTTGGATTCCTCCACCGCTTTGCCAATCTTCTTCACCAGCTCGTCCAGCTTTAATGTGGCTTCCACCAGCACGGAGCGAAACTTCTGCCTGGCGTCCTAGAGGTGAAACAAATAGGAACATTCAAATCACAATGAACTGTAGAGCTGCATGCATTATGTTTTGGTTCAGAAATACAATGATCACAAAAATACTTCAATACATTTAGTCCTTTGGCAGATGCTTCTGTCCAAAGCAACTTACGACTAAGGAGGCATTCAGTGATTCAACGAGAAGAGGCAATACAGACAAGAAATACTAATTATTTAAAGGAACTGATAGTGCTCAGATGTAGGTGTTTAAGAGGAGGGAGTGTTTTTTGTGGAGAGAAGAGTGTTTCTACAGGTGGTTTATCAAGCCCACTTAGCTGTGTGAAACACAATAAATGCACAGTACAATTTTATTGTTGTAAATAAACAATGATAGCACTGGTAACAAAAATTGATGTTTGAAAGCAACTTTTAAAGCTTCAAATTAGTGCTGCACAATAATCAGCATCGATAAACTATGTGTATTCACAATAGTCGCATCAGAGGATATGCAGTGTTGAGTCTGGATTATAGTTGATCAACAACTTAGAGATGTGTGAGATGTGTGGAGTCATTGCAATGTAGAATTATAACAGGGTGAAAGTTCATCATTTGCATGTGTTTTGAAGGGATTTCGAGAGAGTGTAAAGCACTCAGTACAATAACATACAACTTTATACAACTTTTAATTTGTAACTTTATCATTCATTCATTCATTCATTTTCTTTTCAGCTAAGTCCCTTTATAAATCTCGGTTCCCCACAAGAGAATGAACTGCCAACTCATCAAGCATGTTTTACGCAGCGGACGCCATTCCAGCTGCAACCCATCACTGAGAAACATCCATACACACTCATTTACACACATACATTACGGACAGCTTAGCTTACCCAATTTACCTGTACCGCATGTTTTTGGACTTGTGGGGGAATCCGGAGCACCCGGAGGAAACCCACGCGAACATGGGGAGAACATGCAAACTCCACACAGAAATGCCAACTTACCTAGCTGGGGCTTAAACCAGCAACCTTTTTGCTGTGAGGCGTTTGCTGCACGATTTGTGACTTTAATGAACAATAATTTTACTGACTTATTAATCCATGAAGACTACAGGTTTATTTGACATTTTTATTGTTCCATTTTTGTACCTGAATATGGCTTGACTCTCTGGAAACCTTTTTACTTTTATATATTGTAATTATTCTTGCTTGCAATTTGTTGAATATTTTTCATAGATGATTTATATAAAAATCACCCCAAACCTATTCAAGCCATCTTGTGAAATAATATTCATCATTCAGCCCTACTTCAAATGATATTGCATCAGTTTTGACTATTTTTTTGAAGATGTTAAGTACTGCTTTTTTTTTTTTTTAATTCCCAGATTCTGCTGGCTGCAACCTCCGAATTTTCATTGCCAATCTTAGGCCAATTGATATAAGTTGTTTTGGTTCAATTTGGAATTTCCCCAGCCGTGCAGAGCCCGGGGGACCAGCAGACTAGCTCCAGCTTGGCCTCCGCTGGTCCAGTACTGCTCATCTATTCAAGAGATTAATTTGAAAATGCTGATTCATCCAGTAATGTGAACCCTTAAAATGACTTTATCTTTCATTCAAAAAGACTACATCAAATTAATAAAGTAGAAATTATTCATTGTATTTCATAGAATGGAGCAATAAACATCTTGCCAGTACCTCTAATGCTTTGTTGATCAGAGTTCCATTTAGGGATCTCCATTTAATGCACACAAATTTTTTTAAATACTACATACAGCTTTAATTTATTGGCACTACATTGGCGCTGATATATCAGATCCAACATTGGATTTTAAGTGCATCTTTCAGTATATGAGGGTTAATCGTGCATATTTTCTCCCTTTACTTGCCCTTTCCTATTATTATCAGCAAGAATTTGTAAAACAGTTGTGCAGATTTGTCTTTTACGTTTTATTGAAAAGTCGTATCAGCCATGAAATAATAATAATTATCAATTGAGAACTCAATTGGTAAATAAAATGGGTGATGCGGTGGTGCAGTAGGTAGTGTTGTCGCCTCACAGCAAGAAGGTGCCTGGTTCGAGCCTCGACTGGGTCAGTTGCATTTCTCTGTGGAGTTTGCATGTTCTCCCCGACCTGGTTTCCTCCAGGTGCTCTGATTTCTCCCAAAAGTCCAAAGATATGTGCTATAGGTGAATTGGGTAAACTAAATTGTCCATAGTGTACGTGTGTGAATGAATGTGTACGGGTGTTTCCCAGTGATGGGTTGCAGCTGGAAGGGCATCCACTGCATAAAACATATGCTGGATAAGTTGGCGGTTCATTCCTCTGTGGCGACCCCAGATTAATAAGGGGACTAAGCCGAAAACTATGAAAATGGTGGGTTGTTTCAACCTAAATCTGGATAAAAATGTGGATCAACCCAACAGCTGGATTAATAAATAATTTGATATCTCAGTTTGTACCAAATTATTGGGTTGGTCAATATTTGATCAAAATGTGGGTCAAAAGAACCCAGTGTTTTTAGATTATAACTTATAAAATCATAACTTGAAAATGTGCCCAATTTTATTTTCCAGACCCACTTTTGATAACAGATGATCCATGGTACCGAACACATTACTCCTGCACAAATAAACTCTATGCAGAGGTAAGATTGTATACAAGGTTGTATTAAACTCTAACCCTAACTTTACAGAAAAAAAAAATTAATGCACGCAAAAAAAAAAAATATGGAACATCTAGTGCACCCAAAAGTGAACACTTATTATTTTCACACCCTCAAGAGGTTCCAAACATTTGAGTATATATTTCTTCAGTTGAACACAAAAGAAAATCTTTTAAAGAATGCTGGAAACCGAAAACCATTGACATCCATAGTAGGAAAAAACAAATCCTACAGAAGTCAATGGTTTCCAGTCAATGGTTTTGTGTTCAACAGAAGAAACTCAAACCGGTTTAAAAACAATCAAGGTAATATAAATGATGACCGAATTTTCATTTTTGGGTCAACTATCCCTTTAAACTCACTCTAAGAATTGTACAGATGTGTGATGCTTTCTGCAAATTGCAAAGCATTTCAGCTTATGGCGTGCGAGTCAACTGATTTGCACATAAGAAGTCCCACACACATAAAAAGGGAGTAAAATCAGTTTAACTGTAATCTAATTTGCAAGTAGGTCTGTGAAACGGTCCTATAAGCACAGGGAAAATATGCTTTTCTCTTGTGCTGTAAACAAGCTCTCTCATGAATGTAATTTAATAGTCATTTTCCATTTATTGACCAAAGGCGAA